CCTGTCCATCATACTCTTGCTCTGGGTCAGCTTTGGGATCAGGGTGTACTGCACGTGGTAGAGGGGCTCGAATAAATAGAAGACATCAAAGTGCTGGTTAAACAGCTGCCCGACGAACGAGGAGCCGCTGCGGGTGGTGGCAAGGATGAGGACATGAGTCTTCCTGGAGAGGTTATAGGTGAAGGTGGGGCTCTCATCGCACAGCCTGTCGTTTACGTCCGTGTCCTGGCTCAGGCTGCAGTTGACGGGGTTGGGGTTGGGGCAGCTGTGGAAGGACTTGGCGGTGAAGGTCCGGATTGCCGTGTACTGGATCGCAATGGATGCCAAGGCTAGGAGGAGGACAGCCTTCCAGGAACATTGCATGGCTGGTCACCTTCATGGAGCTTCTTCACAGGTTGTCTTGGTGTCTGCAACCCAACCAACAGAGAAGTCATAGATGGAGCATGGACTGCCAAGGAGGACCCAAGTATTCTGCTTTGGGGTTACCAGCAAACACCCTCCCAATGCACATACACCAGACATAACCACATGGACCCCAGTCAGGCACTGCAGAGCCCTATTTCAGAAAGACCAGGCAGAGGCTGGAAAGCCTGGAGAGACACTTCTGGAGAGGACTTCAGCTTCAGGGACTGCTTCCTTCCAGGTTGGGGTTGTACATACATCCTGTGCCCCACAGCTCACCCCGTGCCCTGTGGCCTAGGCAGGGGGATGTTAGACCCCAGTGATAACACCATCTACGTGCCTCCATCCAGGTGCTGTGAGCCCTCCTCCCTAGCTGCTCTGTGAGTCACTTGTCACCCCATCAGCCAGTGCCTTTGACAGCCAGTCTGCCCGACGAACGAGGAGCCGCTGCGGGTGGTGGCAAGGATGAGGACATGAGTCTTCCTGGAGAGGTTATAGGTGAAGGTGGGGCTCTCATCGCACAGCCTGTCGTTTACGTCCGTGTCCTGGCTCAGGCTGCAGTTGACGGGGTTGGGGTTGGGGCAGCTGTGGAAGGACTTGGCGGTGAAGGTCCGGATTGCCGTGTACTGGATCGCAATGGATGCCAAGGCTAGGAGGAGGACAGCCTTCCAGGAACATTGCATGGCTGGTCACCTTCATGGAGCTTCTTCACAGGTTGTCTTGGTGTCTGCAACCCAACCAACAGAGAAGTCATAGATGGAGCATGGACTGCCAAGGAGGACCCAAGTATTCTGCTTTGGGGTTACCAGCAAACACCCTCCCAATGCACATACACCAGACATAACCACATGGACCCCAGTCAGGCACTGCAGAGCCCTATTTCAGAAAGACCAGGCAGAGGCTGGAAAGCCTGGAGAGACACTTCTGGAGAGGACTTCAGCTTCAGGGACTGCTTCCTTCCAGGTTGGGGTTGTACATACATCCTGTGCCCCACAGCTCACCCCGTGCCCTGTGGCCTAGGCAGGGGGATGTTAGACCCCAGTGATAACACCATCTACGTGCCTCCATCCAGGTGCTGTGAGCCCTCCTCCCTAGCTGCTCTGTCAGTCACTTGTCACCCCATCAGCCAGTGCCTTTGACAGCCAGTGCAGTTGAAAGGGAAAGGACAGAGGATGGTGCCAAGCACTGCCTGAAGATTTGTCTCCATCTTTCCTGGCCAACTGGCAAGATAAGGCATGGCCCATCCAGGCCAACACCCTCCTGCTTGGGAGAACAGCAGTGGCTCTCCTGGAGCTCCAAACATCTTTGCTTAGAGGTCCACCAGCCAGGCTGGCTCAGTCTTTCAGCCTCTGGGGACAAGTAGCAGCCAGAGCTGTGTCCTATCTGCCAACCCCATGTGCCCCTAGCACTGAGCTTGTGGTGTTGCCCAGATCCTGCTCAGCTCTGAGATTTAAGATCCCCCTTCCTATTCTGAACACCAAAAAAGGGGGGGAAGGCAATACTACAAAAGAGAAAGCATGAGAAACTGCATCCCCTCCATCCTCTATTTGCAACAGTGCAGTGGCAGGAGTCCTGGGCACTGGAGGTGCGTGCAGGGAAGAGCAGGGCTGTAATTGCACAAGCCAACTTTATTCTAATGGTGCTAACCCCACCTTGCTGCTGCCTGCACCTGGGTGAGGGTAGGGGAAGCTGAACAGGGTGCTCGATAGGATGCTCAGGGACAGCTAGGTGAGGAGCACCCTTGCCATGCCTGGGGAGCTGTGGCATTGCTGAGAGGGGCTGTATCCGTGGTGGTGCTTAAACATCTCTCCCTTTTCACTAACAAAGTAACATTCATAGCCTGCCCTGCTGCTCTCCAAAGCACAGGGCTTCACATCCGCCTGCTATTGCTCCCCAAGGCCAGCAGGGCTGGGGGGGGCAGGAGGTAGCATACTCATCCCAGAAACCCCGAACAAGCCAAAACTCTTGTAAAAGGGAGACACCCCAGTATAAGAAACAGCGTTGAAGCTCCCCTGCACCCACTTTCCCTTGCCTGCCTTCCTTCCATGTTCCCCTGCAGTGTGGTACCTGTGCCTGTGGCTCTGCAGCCACCTGCCCCTGCCCACCCTCCTTAGACAAAACCAAGGGGACAGACACAAGTACCTCCAGTCCCCACCCAGCAGGGCCCTTCCTTTGTGCAGCATCATCGCCACAGTCGCTTCCTCTTCTCCAGTCCTCTCGTGGTCCCTCTGTGTCCCCAGGGAGAGCACTGAGCCAGCCCAAAGCTGGTGTCTAGCTCCTGGTCCCCTGCTTGCCCTCAGCACACTGGCAGGCAGGGCTGTCAGAGCCACTGCTGTCACTCTGAGGGAGGCCAGTGGGCCAGCAACTGATGCAGCATGTGGGGCCTCTTCAAGCCCAGAGCAGGCTGAAATCCCTGATGGGCTTGAGAGGCTGCAACGCTCCTGGTGCACATCCCCCAGAGAGCCCATGGCAGCTGGCACTGCATGTTTTTCCCATCTCCTCAACATGTACTGCTCACCAGAGAGGCCCTACCACTCAGATAGTGACACCAGGAGGGCTGCTCAGACCTGCAAGTGAGTAAAAAAAATCTCCTTCCTTCCTTTTAAAAAAATATTATCTCATTATTTACCAGTTGCCCCAGCAGCCGACCCCAGGTGCAGGCAGGAGGCTACAGGAGCTGCCAGCTCCAGAGACCACTCATCAGGAGGAGGGTTTTTGGCACCCATGATTCAGGGCAGGACCCCAGCAGAGGGGCTGCAGCACAGCTGCTGCAGGCCTCCTCCTGATAGCAATTGTCATGTCTGTGCACTAATAGCCATGCTTTAGACCCAAAATGATGCTTGGAATAAAGCTGGCTTTCTCCTGGGCTGCTGCCTGCCAGGGATGTTGCATGTGGTTGGGGACAGAAGTTGCAGACAGTTGCTATTGCTGCATCTGATCTGGGGTTACCTGCCCCGCAGCAGGGAGACACAGTTCCAGTGTCCACATGGGATAAAACATCCCTTGGATAAAATGTTTTTTCAGGTCTGCTAAGTCAGAGCAGGACAGGAAGTTTTCTGCTGGCACCTCCTGACCCAGGTGGCTCCAGTGTGCTGCCTAGGTGGAAGCTGCAGCCAGAATGCTTTCCTGCTCTCTAGTGATGGCCAGCCACACTGCATCCTTCCCAGCCTCAACTTGTACTACCTGCTGCGCTGCTGATGGACACCAGAGAAGACAGGGCTCAGACTGTCCCAGGATGTGGCATAAACATCCTGCTGGCTCCCCTGGAAAAGGTAACCAGCGCCCAGGTATCTCCTTGGTCCCAGTTCCTGCTGGATTCCTAGCTCCAACCTTTCGAGGTTCTCCACCCACCCAGACCCACTCCCCTTCGCAATGCATCAAGCTGTAGAGGGGAAGAAAGGGGTGTTGATTCACCCCGTCACCCTTCGCGTCTGCACTGCCTGTCTGCTGAGCCACAGCCAGGGAGGGGCAGGTTTTCGGACAAGGCTTCCCTCCCTGATGTCTCATCTGTGGCCTTTAAAGACAGCCAGAGCCTCCTCTCAGTCCCAGGCCATCTCTCCTGCCTCCTTCCATCACTGCCTGTCCCCCAGGGGACACAGTTCCTGCTCAGCTCAGCCCTGGGCTCAAGAGGCAGCAGCAACCAGCAGCCGGGTGCTCTTGGGGCAGCACAAGCTCGTGGCACCCAGAAGGTGGTACAGCTGGGGACCACTTCCACTCACACACCCCCCTGCTCATCTGTTGGACACAGATGGGCTGGTGTGACACACCAGCTGAGGAGGAGCTGCACGTGGCTGTGCCCAGCTTGGAGCAGACTGGCTGAGCAGCGGCTGCAGCACACACGCTGTGGGAGGATGTCTCCTACACGCCCAGCAGGATAGCTGCTTGCTCTCCCATTCCTGCCTGGCAGGACCACCTTCTTAAATTGGCCTGTTTCCTCTTCAGGCATTGATAACAGAGCCAGAAGTTCAGACCAGCAGCTGGAGCAACCCAAGGGCTGTGTGTGACAGTCCTGTGTGAGGCATGTGCTGTTTCGGTTGCTCAGCCCTAGACCTTGAGATGCTGTGACCAAGGGAGTCATCCAAAATGCTGGCCTCACAGATGTTTCCATTCTATAAAATGTTCCCAGCCGAAATCTCCCTCTGCCCTGCCTCCAGTTCAGCTCCACCAAAGACAATGAGCAAATGCAGCCCAAGGGTGGGAGCCAAGTCCAATAGGTCACTCCAGGCAGCTGGGGTATGAGATGAAGAGCTGGAGTGGGGCTAAGTCACTGGTGCCTTCCATCCCCCCAGCACTCCTGGCACTGCAAGGGGCCTGCAAGAAGGCACGTGGTCTCGTTTTGCACTGTGCTGGGGTCACCACTGTCCCTTCCCTGACCCTAACACCTCTCCTCACAGTATGCCAGACTGCACTCTGCTGCCTTGCCTGCATCTCTGTCTGACTGCCTGCTTTTGCATCAGGACCATGAGGGATGCACGGCATCCGGCTCCAAGCACTGCAGGAGGCTGGCCAGGGCCTGGCACAGGGAGAGGAGCATTGTCTGTGGGAAGGGGAAGGTGCTGAGCCTTTCCTCTCCCCTCCCCTGCTTCCCACAGCCTTGAGCCCAGAGGAAGGGATAGGATGGGGGCAGTCCATGCAGCTCCCCAACCCCACACACCTACAAAATGGCAGTGGGTGTATAATCACCTGCTTTCCTCCTCATCCTCCTTCCCTGACTCCCAGTGCAGCTCCAGAGAGGAGACCAGGAGATGGGAGTCGATGAATTAAGCTGAATGGCATCTGTGAGTCACCGGCGGGGAGCGGTGAGCGTGGCTGGCCAGCTGCAGCGCAGCCGAGGCCCAGGAGATGCTGAGTGGTGGACTCCTGCTTTGGGAATGGTCTTCCCAGGTTTGATGGGAATGACCTGCTTTTAGAGCTGCACAGCACCGGTGGCTGCACTGGCAGCTGAGCTCCAGCACTAGGCA